GTGCATAATGAGCGAATTATATATAGCCTTTCTTGACTCTCTTTCCGCATTGGCTACACATACAACTACATCAGATACGTTTGACACATTGGTAATTGATGGAATCGTTGTCAGGAGAGGCTACGGTTCACGTTTGCGAGCAATTGGAACTTGTATGTCGCAGTCCAGCGCGCTGTTGCTTTTGATGCAAGACCTGACAGGTATTGACTATACTGGGCAATTCGTACTTGCATTACTCATATGATATATTATGCCTTCTGAATCCTGCTTCAGACGGGTTCGTTACCTACGCCTCAGCCGGTGTAGATCCAAGGAATAGGAAACGTTCCTTTACCCAGCGGCTTGGCATCCTGCGTGACGTTCTTCAGCTGCGGCAATGTAAAAGGCGTAGTGTCGCTCAAGCTGTGTACGCGTCCCAGGAGTTTCTCCAATTGTCTAAAGGCAGACGTGGCTGCGTACTGCGGCCCCTCGTGGCCAGAGAGACCGGTCACGACAACAATCAAGCCACGCTCATGATGGGACGTTCCCACAACGCCCGTCTTGTCCGGCAGATCGGTGCCATAGCCGCTCCCCCTGCCTGTGCTGTATCGAGGGACATAGAAGGGATCGGTGGGACGAGACTCGAATCCCAGCTTCCCACCCCACGTCATGTTCTGAACGGCCAGCAGGACGCCGTTGGCGGGAAGAATAAAATCGGTGCCGCCCTGGACGAGAATGACATTCTTGGTCTTGTCAATGACATTGGGGAGCTCGTATTTGGACGGGGGGAGAGATTCGTCATATTTGACAAAGGCCGTGTTGACGCACACGCTCCATTCGACCTGGAGAGGCGCGTGGATGGCCTTCTTCACGTCCTCCCGGTTAAAGTAGGGGTCGTCACCCAAGGGATCGTAGAGATCTGGGCAGTGATCCAGGATGTTGTATATGTTGAAGCAAGGGTTGTCCTTTCTGGCCTGCCGGTAGATGCTATTCCACAGGTTGCCGCACCCATCCTTGTACTGAACGGTTCCATTGGGGAGCCTCTCCTGCCAGGGAAGCAAGGAGGGCTGCTTTCCAGCCGGAGGATACACGTAGTACTTCTCGACGTAGTCTCTGTATCCGCAGCGCTCAGAAGTGTTGTGCAGCTCGGCCCTGAAGCGGTCGTCAAAGGGCATGAGGTTGTAGTTTTGCTCGACAAACGTCTCGGCAATGGCCTCGGACTGGACATCCCCGTCGAAGCTGATGCCGTCAACCACCATGAGGCCCTTGAGATTGTAGTACTTGGTGTCGTTGGCATTGACAAAGTGGCTGGAGATGTACGGGCCGTAGTATCCGCCATACGACTCACCAACCACGTACACCTTGTAGCCTTGCATGCTAAAGGTATCGATGAAGTTCTTCCAGAACCCCAGGAATTGTTTGGCCAGCTCATCTTCATTGTGGATGGTGGTATTTCCAGTCGAGAAGCCAACAGTCACGGGCTGCTCGATCCACACAATATTTGTAAGATGATGCCAGCTCCAAGGGTTCCGAACTGGCTTCAAGGTGCCGGGGCGCCAGACGAATGGGCCGTTCTCCTGGAGCAGACCAAGGAGAGACGAGCAGCCGGGCTGGGGTGTGTGTCTCAGTCAGACCCGGTGATGACAAAGAGGGGGGATGATCTCTTCCTTTTTTTTTTCTTTCTAGGGGACGGGCGGGGAGAAGCGACTTACTCCGCCATTGAGCCAGATGGTTATCTCCTTCTTTTTCTTGTGCTCGTCATTGTCCGTAGGAAAGAACCAGAAGAAGAGGTTGTCTTTCTCGTCCTTTTTGTCGCTGATGGGCAGGAGTCCTGAGTACGACTCGCCAATATCAAAATTGACTTCTGGGAGCCCTGTACCGTTGACTGCGAATTCTGTAGCGTGTATGTTAACATCAATGATCAATTTTTGGTCACGGGTAAATCACATGTCCCCTTCCATGGGCACAGGAGACCAAGTTCAAGAGGCCCGGCACACTCACTCTCGGTCTTGTTGTTCAGGAAGCGATGGGGACCCGAATCAGGGCTGGTCCGGGTATATACTGACGGAGGAGTGTGAGCCTCGCCATAGTCGGAGATGTCTGCCAAGTCATCTCCATGCAACTGCTGTAGGAGCTGGCGGTGGCTCTCGGAAGTGCGCGCTGCTGCGGTGGCAACCAGGAGTCCCAACAGGGACAGCACCAATTGGTTCTTCATCATGAGTAGCTCGCTTGAGGCCGAGAGATGCTTGAGCTGGCTTGGAAGGGACTCTCGGGTTCTCAACCATGGCATTTATATACCGTGGAGGACATGCAGCTTAGTAAAATGTTACTCTCTCGTGTCACCCGTGTCTCCGCGTCTAAGCTCTGTGTGACTCCGAACGGTATATCGTCATTTCGCTAGGCACAGGCCCCTACTACATGCAGTCTGATCATCGACATGCAATACTTGTTTTGGTCAGAGCAAAGGGTCGGCCACCCGGGCACCTTTTTGGGCAACCGGCAACTCACGCATGGCAATGCGAGCTGTCCACAAATGCCCTAATCCGATGGCATTAGGCTGGCTGGATGACAGGATAGCGCAGTCCCCGGCTTATCATTGCCGGATTCTCCGTTGGATCGGGGTGGGATCGATGATAGCGGTCAAGCCGCAAGGCGAGAGTCTGCAGTATGCATCACTGGAAAGCTACGCTGAGTTCCCTTGCAAGTGGATCTCGAGTTTGAGGACTTGCCTATTGCAGTATATGTCTTATGGATAGGGATTTGCAAAGTTCAAAAAGTTCCCTCTTTCTTTGGTTCTGCAGCGGCTGGGAGACACCGAGACAGGCCCTACCGCATGACGCAATACGTCGAGTCGATGGTAATGAGTCTAATGACGCGCGGAGGAGCAGCCATGAGCCCATCATTGTAGAGTCGTAATTGGTGCGCACAAGCACGTCCTATAGTCCGTTAATTAAAGAATAATGGGAACAACCCGGCTTCTGCCATGAACTTTGAAGAAACAACACATGGCAAAGATAGCGAACCCTCGCCGACGTTAGTTTGTTACCTAATGAGTCATGGATTGGACATATCGCACGGAGGAAGGCGCGAAGGTCGTTCCAAAGTTGCCGCCCGACCCGGCGACGTGACGCCGCCTCTCGCGGCCACACCTACTAGGCGTGTTTCCCTGCCTGTTTGGCCGATTATACCGACCAGACTCGGATTTGGAAATTGTCCGCGCCACCACCAAGGCACTGCTTGCTACTGCTACTAACATGATGCCTAGCGACTTGAACCGAGTGCGACAGGTAATTGCTAAGGGATTAGCTGATACGACGTGCATTTATTAGCCTCTTCACGATGAAGCAACTGCGAGGCCAAGTTGCAGCGTGACCCATCTAATTACATCCCAAGGCGCGCAAAGCAGTCGAGACTACCACCTACATAAGAGCTTGAGGGCTCCTATAAGATGTCCCCTTTGTTCCTCCCCAAGCATTGATTTTGCCCTCCAAAGCCTCTGTCATCTTCTTTACACCAACTGTTTTATCTTCCACTACACCATGACTTTATGGCAGGAAAACACTTTCTATCAATCACAATCTGGATACCCACTCTGACCTCTCAAGTGTTGGTCATCAGCCCACGGAATCTCCAGAATCACGACAAGGAGAGGATGATGTGCAAGGGGCAAAGGGAGGTCAATTTCTTCTTCGCATCGACGGACAAGCCCCCGAATGCAATGAAAAAAAAAGGAAGCGTGCGTCACCTGGAGGTGTGTAATACCAGGGACACAGGAACAGAAATCAAACATTATGCCGGGTACTTACCAAACCTGCTGATCATGCCAGGGTGTTAGTAGCCTCACGCAGGGCCCTGGCAATCTCAACACCCAACCTGGCCTCTTGAGCGTCAGTGATGAGCGGCGTGTTTCAAATATAAAATGAGATATGTATACGTGGAGAGGAAAGAAAAGAAAAGAAAGCAAAATTGAACACGACAAGGACGCGAACTTATGCATTTCGAAAGCACGTGCTCGCTTATTGTTTCCTCTTTGTAAAGTGTTCCGTGAGGTTTCAAGGGAAAGAATAAACGTCACTGACCAAAAGGGTAGGTATGGCACTGGGCGAGATTGTCACAAAGTTGGGAAAGCGCAACATCGGAGGCAGGCAACTTGTCAGCTGCCTTGCTTGCGCTTGCCTCAGGAGAGCCACTCGGCAAGGGACACTCGAGCCCTCCGAGTAGTCTCTGTGATGGACCATCAAGCAGGCACGGAAAGAAAGGTCAACTTCAATGTTGTCACCAACGCGCTGAAGACTGTCGAGATGGGAGCCGGCGTCCCTGACGACGCGCCTTGTTTGGCGCCCTCCTCGCGACGCTGTACATCTCCGGCACGCCCAACTCCCTGCAGCCTGAGATTTTTCGGCGACGACGACGACGCCCGCGCGAGGTTCGTGTTCGTCAAGCCAAACCGCAACTTGGTCCTAGGGCTGGCTATACTCTTACCGGCCGTATGTTACTTCTCCTTTTTTTTGTTGTGTGTTACCACTGGACTCACTGTGCATACGCCAGTTTTTCTTTTACATCTCTCACATACGGCCATACCTACCACTGGCACCAGAATATACGGGTTCCCATGAGACCAACCTCTTCGAGGACAAGTTCAGGACCATCTGCCTAATCTCTTTGAATCTGGCACCGGCCACGTCAGGTACAGCCCGTTGGTGGACTCTCGGGGATCAGCTTCATAGAATCGGCAAATTCCAAAAGTTCATCTTTTTTCAGGGTATTGGGATCCACCCATATTACAGCGTTTGGAAGAGACATAAACCCCAGTCCAGAGTGGTGGCCATTTTACTCGTAGTGACTTTTAAGCCAATACCCCTGCATGGCTTGAAACCGGGGAAATCCTCTACCTTTGCCTCCTAAGTCCTTTCATGTTGTTATTTACTACGTGTGTGCATATATGGCGGGGGTACAAGGATCTAAAACACTATAAAGGCTGATCATTCGTCATACGGACGATTTCGAGACCGACGCCAAAAATGGCAGCTAAAGACTGTCTGAAAGTTTCGGATGCCACAACCCTAGTTCAACGCTACAGAAATGTATCAGCCGGTGGAGATGGCCGCCGCCCCTATCAGCTGGACAAATTCATTGTCTCCGTGCTGTGCCGACTGTCCCGACCTGCCAAAAAAGGCAGTGGTAGCCACAGCATGGCCAGCAACGTTGACCATTCAGAGCCCGGAACTACTCCCAGTGTTGACCCCGTTGGCGTCGATAGACGGTCGTCAAGAACGCAGATTATTCCTGCTGCGGACAGGATTGACGGTCAGCGGCGGAGCGTGGACTGATAGAAGCAACAGGCAGACGGTGACTTGGACGAATATATATAATAACTACCGTGGCCGTCAAGGTCCTCATCGCACAACTAGATGAACGCCCCATCAGAGTCCAGACTAGCCCCCACGTTCCCCAGACTGTGTCTGCAGTTTGTACAAACTAGGCTATTCAAGATTGTTGCCAAGTGTTTTCGCCAAGCCCTTTCGCAGTTTCCATTTCCTCTTTCGGCCATTCGAGCAACTAACTCAGGTGGTTGTTAAATAAATCCAGGACAATTTACACAACAGGACAAATATACTCGTCAGCAACGTCATGTCGCCGCTTGTAAGTATTATTCTAGTTGGTCTTTCCGCCACGAAAGGCGCCTATGCTTGGGGTAAACTCGGCCACGCCACCGTCGCCTACATTGCCCAGCACTATCTATCCTCCGAAGCGGCATCATGGTAAGCCCCCATCGGGGTGGTTTTCGAATCCGAGTGGGCTACAAGCGTTTGCTGTCTATGCCCCTAGACCGACTGATGCTAATCGAGACTTGCCAACACAAAAGGGCGCAGGGTGTCCTCGGCGACACCTCCGACTCATACCTGGCAAACATTGCCTCTTGGGCCGACGACTATCGGGCCACGGCCGCAGGCAAATGGTCGGCCCCACTTCACTTCATTGACGCTCAAGACAGTCCTCCGACGAGTTGCAACGTCGACTATAACCGCGACTGCGGCAGCAAAGGATGCTCCGTCTCAGCCGTGGCCAACTACACCCAGCGTGTCGGGAGCAAGAGCCTGAGCAAGGACAACATTGCCCAAGCACTCAAGTTCCTGGTTCATTTCACCGGAGACTTGACGCAGCCTCTGCACGACGAGGCCTACCAGGTCGGCGGCAACAATATCAAGGTCACCTTTGATGGATACCAGGACAATCTGCACGCTGACTGGGACACGTATATCCCCGAGAAGCTGGTTGGAGGCGGTGCCTTGACAAATGCGCAGAGCTGGGCCAACGATTTGATACAGCAGATTACCTCTGGGAGTTACCAATCTCAGGCGGCAGATTGGATCAGGGGAGATGATGTCGGAGACGCCATAGCGACGGCGACCAGATGGGCTTCGGAAGCCAATACTTTTGTTTGCTCCGTCGTGATGCCCAATGGCTCCGCGGCTCTGCAGCAGGGCGACTTGTACCCCAAGTACTACAACGCTGTCATTGACACCGTCGAGCTGCAGATCGCCAAGGGAGGATACCGTCTCGGGAACTGGCTAAACAACATCTACAAGTCTACCGTGGCCAAGCGGGACGTTGGAGGCATTGAGGGCGCAGAGGTCAAGCCTGCCGAGCTGCCAGACCTCATGGGTTACGATTTTCTCCCAGAGCCTCGTCCTCTGAGTCGTGCTCAACTTGCACGGGCTGCCATGGAGGGCGATTGCTGTGGGAAGGGGCGCGAGGGCCACCAGCACTAGGCGTTTTGTCGAATTAAGGTTTCATCATGAAATTTGTGCACATACATGTTCTGCTAGTTTGTCTACCCAGCTCGGGCTCATCTTGGCCCATCTCCCTCTGCGCCTCAGCTGCTTAATTAATCCTTGATTTGATTGACGGTTTCCACGAGAGAGACCAGTCTCCCGTCCTCGGCAACGACTCCAAACATGAACGTCTCGGATTTCAAAACCGTACCGTCTTCCAGTGTCGTTATCCCAACGTGTCTGTCGGCTACCTGGGGCCCGTCGCGGAGGAATTGGGTAATGGTGAGAGTGACTCTGGGCACATTCTGGCGTAGCCAGCGCATGTGCGACACAAACGCCGCAAAGTCGCGCGTGCCATCCTGATCTCGCAGAGTAAAGTTGGGGGCAAGCAATTTGGATAAATCCCCTTCTGTGTCTTCTGGCTTGCCTGAAAACAGACTCATTAAGGCGGCTTGGTAGGTGTCCTTGTGGTCTGTGAAGGTGGTTCGGGAGGCCATTATTGAGGTACGTATAGTATTGAGAAGATGCAGAGTGTTCTTGGTCCCTATTCTGTAGGGGCGGTTTTTGAAAAGCTTTCTGTAAAGCACACAAACCATGGATTTTATATTCTGGACCCTTGATCGTGGAAACTGGTGCCTGGAAGAATGTCTGGGGATAGTTCTGGCGCTGCCTGGCCAATATCTATACCTCCCTTAAAGTGGCCTCATGTTTTCGCTGTAGGCATCCATCGCAGGCACGAGCTTTCCGGAGCAAATCCGGACAGGAAGCAGATTCCTAATTACGAATCACAAAATACCGTGCAGCGTGCGGGTTCCGAGCAGAAAGGCCCATCGTCATTCATGGCGCCCGTCAACAACCACTCAAGGCCACCAAGTCATCAGGACCCGTGGGGCCCTGCTAGTTTCGCCACGGGTTATCAGTTAATACTCCGTACTTATCTGTCGCATGGAGCGAGGCCATCCCCTCGTTGGCCTTCGTTGTCGCTTTGCCATAGGGCCGACAAGAGAGGCTGTGGATAGTCCATGTCAAGACTCTTTCCCACTTGACAATATCCAAACGGAGATTTTCGATCCGTATGATATATAGCTGTCCTTGTACAAGCCGGCACCGATATCCGAAGCCCTGGAAATAAGCGGCTGAGTGACGCGAATCATCTTGGCTGCGCCACCAACCTTGGATGGCACAGTCAGACGGCCTAATTGATGGGAATCTCGCCGCCAGGGAGCAAAGCATAATCTTGTAAAGAGGCAACCGATGGTGGCTTGCTCTCCACATTCGGGGGCACCGAGTCAGATCAGACATGCGACGCCTTCCCCAGTGCGGCAGGCGTTTCGGCGCTGTTTCTCACGATTTCGCATCATTGGCCGGTCAGATAGCTTCGCTGGCAATACATATGTTGGTTCTAATAAGTACGGAGTATTCAACGCCGCCTTTGTAGCTTCGACCGCGTCTACCACGTCTTCAAAAAGGGCACACACAGCGCGGGCGTCATTGCTGGGCTGTACAGGCTCAGAAACGGACTTGTGTGACGTGGCTGCCTCCCACCACCCTGGTACAGTTTGTACAAAATCCCGGGGATTTTCTCGATTCCTTCCGCATTGGTATCAGCTTTTCGTGATTTTTGAATAAGTTGTCACTCTCCCGCCGCCAATTCCCGGCTTGTTTGAAACCAGCCTCGGGTACTCTACTACTGAGAAACATCGAATTGCTCAAGCCTTGGCGCAAACACACCTGACCCCGTCGCAATACTTGCTGGAGAGGGCAGGGGGGAGATTGATTGTACTCATGGTGTTTAGTGGACTGCCCTCCACGGCATGTCTTTCATGCCGACAGAGGAGGTTAAGAGTAAGCCCTGCGTCGGCACCCTCAGAAGCCTGCACAATGCAGGACCCCTTGCGTCTCCCATCCGTGGCATTGAACGAGGGTAATTTGAAGGCGACAAAGACACCATCTAACACATCCCGACATCTAGTGCGACCGAGTGCCCACGGGATGCTCGCCATGCAAGCGCAAAGGAATAGAGTGCTCCGGATACCGGGATCCATGCGCCTTGCGAGTCCGAGATGAGACGAGCCGCACGACGCGCAAGTTTGCAAAGGCTCCAAAGGCTCCAACGAGGAGGAAAACACTACACCGTGTACCAGAGCCGGAGGCGGGCGCCAAACATCCCGTTGAGCATCTAATATGGCCGTTCAGCCAACTGGTAAGCTCCCTGATGGGAGATCCCTCGTATCCCTTGCGGCAAAATCTACAGGAAGCATCCATGGCATACTTCCTGACGTCCTACATCACCGCTACCCCTTTCCAAAGATATGTGCCCTCATTCTGCCTGGCAGATGCAGATCCGGAAGACGCATGCTCCATCACCATCTCGGCCACGGCGCTGGCTGCATATTCACGCCGCGTCCGGTCCGCCGAATATCTCGAATGCGCAAGGCAAAAGTACGCAGTCGCACTGACCCGGGTCAACGAGCTGTTGTCCAACCCTGAAGCCGCGGTCCTCGACAGAACACTCGTCTCCGTCTTGGTGCTCGGCCTGTTCGAGGCCATTGTCTTTGAGGCCGGCAAGTCGCCCACGAGCTGGACGACACACACCGTCGGTGCCATGCAGCTCCTGAGATTGCGAGGGCCGCAGCAGTTCAAGTGCCCCCTCTCCCGTAAAATGGTCGCCCACGCCAGCAACAACATCAAAACTAGCTGCATTCAAAGGTCGATCCCGGTGCCAGACGACTTCGTCGCGTTGGACAAGCAGCTCACACTCCTGCACGACCCCAACGATCCCTCTGTCAAGTTGGCGCCCATGGTTCAGCAGCTTGCCTCCATCAAGGCAAGGGCCATGGCTGGCCCTGATTGCAATCTAGTCCACGAGGCTCTGGAACTAGACCGCCGAATTGTCGCCTTCTCCAATGAGTGTCCCGCCTGGATGTCGTACGCGGTCGAGCCCAGTTCTCATGCCCCTGGCTGGGCGTATGGCGGAGTCTGCCATCGTTATCCCAGCGCGTACGTCGCCAAACTATGGAACACTGTTCGGCTTCTTCGCATATTTTTAGTCGTCTTGATCAGGCAAGTCGCCTCCGGGCAGCTGGATCCTGATCTCGCTCGACTTCGTCTGCCCGATGGCGAAGCCAGCCTGGCTGATTACTTGTCCGGGCTTCAGCAGTACGCGAGAGAAAACATAAAGACCATTACAACGGGGGTTCTCGCCAGCATCCCCAGTTTCATGGAGGTGGACGATTTCGGGCGACGATTCGCGCCTTCGGGCAGGAGTCTGGCCTGGCCCCTGAGTATCATTGAGAACACCGACATGTGCGCGGAGGCGGCCAGGGAGCATGCCTACGAGAACTTGGAAATGCTGGCTGGGGATCTAAACATGCCTCAGGCGGTGCATCCGTCACGATTCCCAGGCATCAGAGAAGACTGGTGAGTGACCCAAAGTCCATTTCATGTTTGGAAAATCCATAGTGTTGCTAAATCGTTCCTCCCCAAGGATGCACCTGTTCCATCTCGGATAGTACCAGGAAGCAGAGGCCTTAAGAGCTGTCAATTTATACGACTCGGTACACGACGGAGGTTCTGGAATCTTTGCAAGTACGACAGCCCCGGGACGGGACGGGGTGTCTGGTGGAACACTAGATTCATGGGTGACTGTGTAGTTGGTTCACCTTTTTTTTTCTCCCTCTTCACAGATGCTCCTTTGCCGGCTGGCCGGACAATTTGTTGTACAGCCTTGTATTGAAAAGACGTGTCAAAATTGAACGTGGCGTCTATTCCTCTTCTTCAAACACCTTGGCTGTCGATCCTCCGGCGAATACCGTTGGGCAAATGGGACACCCCTTCTGCCGCGGGACAAGAGCCATCTGTGCGTGTTTGTACTAAAGACGATGGCAAGTATCATTAACAAGCACACAGGTCCATCTAGCACTTGGTGGACCTGTTTTTGTCAAACAGTTTATATATGCCCTAGTTTCTCCGTTTCATGTTGAGATGGTCGTGCTGTCAACGCCTGCTAGCACAAGCAGGCCAAGCTCAAAGTTCAGTGTCCATTGGCAGGGGGTGCTTTCATGTCGTCCTAAATCGGGCCATTTTGTCTTGGACCTGCTTTCCACGGCGGTCGCACCAAGACCCCCAAAAGGTCTCGTCGAACGGTATTCCCGACGCAAGCAAGACTTCCCAAATCCGTCCGAGTGCTTGTCTCTCATTGGCTTGTGCGTTTCCAACTAATATGTGACCGGTCGCAGTCGGGGTCGTGTCTCTCGTCAAGAACGCTGGTTGGGTCGTCCTTTTGGGGGATGTACTCGGCAGAGGTCATCAGGCAATCAATGATCGACGAGGTGCGTGATGCTCGAAAATTCGGCAGGCCGGCGGGCTCAAAGTCACAACCCATGCATTCATGAAGTATTTGTTGACGAACAACTTGGTATGGCGGCGAGGTGCTGCAATACTAGGCCACCACGACTGTCAACTCCAGTCCGCGTCGAGATGTGCCCGGTATCCAGAGTACACGGGCCCTACTTACCACCGTGGAAGACCAGTTTCTTGATGGCCGGCTTCAAAAACCGGGGGCAAGAGCACTCCTCGCGCAGTTGGATGGAACGACGATCAGGCCTCGATGGTTTGTGTAACATTCCCCCAAATGGACATAGAGGGACGGCACATGGCCAGCGGGGATCGAGGGGAGTCAGGGGACCATCGTCTTGCAGGTCAAGGCATCAATGATATTACAAGCGCGGAGGGCTCAATGTTCGACGTGGGTAGTGTTCGGTATTCACGAGGAAAGGGGGCGGCCGCGGCAGATACAACAGGCAGTGTTGGCGATGAAACAAGATTGGCCAAGGACGCAAAGCTGCTGGAGATGACGAGCTCAGCCTGTCGGACGGGCCGTGACATGCATAGACGTCAATATCTACATTCGGGTAATGTGCATGCCGTCTCGCAAAAGATATCATTCAAATCTTTCGCGTGCCAGTGAGCCACACTGCACCATTCTACCCCCCGCA